TACTTGGAAGGCTGAGGCGGAAGAATCGCCGGAACCCAGCAGGTCGAGGCTGCGGTGGCCGGGAACGGCCACTGCACTCCAGTCTGGGCGACAGAGTGAGACTACAACTCAAACAAATATAAAAAAAAAAATCAGCCAGGCATGGTAGCCCATACCTGTGGTTCCAGCTACTTGGAAGGCTGAGGCGGAAGGATCACTTGAGCCCAGCAAGTCAAGGCTGAGATGGCCATGAGCATGCCACTATACTCCAGCCTAGGCAACAGAGTGAGACTCCAACTCAAAAAAAAAGAAAAGAAAAGAAAAAAGAAAAGTATATAGTCTGCCTGTAACTGAGGTCAGCTTCACTGGCCTAAGTCCTAAATGTAGGGGAAGGACTAGGTTAGTTTACAAAACCATAGAAGAGGAGGACAACGGATATTAAGAATAAGCAAACTATGCCTGCTTTAAACCCTTACAAGGAAAAAAGAGAAAAAAAAATGCTACAAATTTAATTACAACCAGCCTGCACACTCCTATAAAGCCCTAGTTGAACGGTTTTTTTTTTGGAGTCAGGGTCTCACTCTGTCGCCCAGGCTGGAGTACAGTGACATGCTCATAGATAACCACTGCAGCTTCAACCTGCTGGGCTCTGGTGATCCTTCTGTCTCAGCCTTCCAAGTAGCTAGAACTAGAGGCATCAGCCACCATGCCCAGCTAAGTTTTTGATTTATTGAAGAGATGAGGTCTACCAAGTTGCCCAGGCTGATTTTGAATCCCTGGCCTCAGGCAATCCTCTCACCTCTGCCTCCCAAAGTGCTGGGACTACAGGTGTCTGCCACTGCATCTGGCAAGGTTGAAAGTTTAAAACTACCTTTCCTCCTCTTGGAAAAGCAGCTGATAAACTCAGGCTGACTTTTACTACATTCCTACCACAGGGAAATGGAAGCAAAGTGCCTCCCATGGAAAATCCGTCAGACCAAGGGCAGAAGGAAAAGCAAAGTCTAAACTCCTGTAGTTGGGAGAATAAAAATATAAGTCCTTCCTATGCTGCAGACTCTGTGACCCTAGATAAGTCCCTTGGCCTAAATTTCCACTTCTTCAAAATAATTAACATTTCTGTCTTTCTATAACTCAAGGTAGTTGCGTGCAGTAATGTGAAAAACTTTCAGTTTTTCAGAGAATAGGCAACTATGAAATCCACAAAAGCAGATATCTCCAGTGACAAAGTGCTGTGACACCAGTATTTTTTTTTTTTTTTTTTTTGAGAAAGCAGGATTTATTGAGAGGACAGAAAAGCTCCCATAGTGGGAGGGGACCCGAGAGGGTTGCCCGACACCAGTATTCTTGATTTTACATTCATAACAGTCAGATATGGGAGGTATAATGGACGTTGTTTTTACTGGAATTTTTTCCCCCTTGCACTGTTCTCATAACTGATAAAGTTTTAAACAGAAATTCATACTTACATATGCACAAAGGCATGCCAACATACAAACATATATACAGGCTAGCTGTAACCAGATTAAACAAGGTGAAATGATGAATAACAGAAGCAAACTTCCCAAATTGCTGCAGATACAAAGACTTTCAGACCACAGAAGACAACTGGATGGAAGGCTTAACGTGGTGTCTATAAATACCTGGTCTGGGGCCCACTCCAGCTGCAGTACACACACACTACATGCATCATGGCTTCTGACGCTCTGTTTGAATTAGGAAACAGACAAGCAAACTTGGGTTAACAATGCAAACCACACAGCATGCAGGGTTATAGTCTCCATTCCTTTGCCATCTTTAAAATCAGGAACTGGTAGAGTCAAAGCTGGGCAATGTTTCTGTAGTTTGGACGTTCGAAATATGTGTTTGGTTGCTTCCATTCTCTCACAATAACAGTAATGTGTCAATTTCAACATTTTTTTTAATAGCTCTTGGAAAGAAATTAATTCTACACATCTACACAGAGAGAATTCATGGGCAAACATGTGAGACAGGTGAAAAAAGTAGACCCATCAGATGGAATTACACAATTAAAAAATCATCATATGGAGTAAAGGTGAGTGAACACACACACAACAGTCATTTTTCCAAATTTCTTTCTCAGCTGAGATTCATTTTTAGAAGAAAAAAAGGAGCCGGGCTCAGTGGCTCAGCCTGTAATCCTGCGCTTTGGGAGGCTGAGGTGAGTGGATTGCCTGAGCCCGCGGGTTCGAGACCCACCTGGGCAACTTGGCGAGACCTCATCTCTACAATAAATCAAAAAATCAGTCGGGCATGGTAGTGCGTGCCTATAATTCCAGCTACTCGGAAGGCTGAGGTGGAAGGATCGCCGGAACCCAGTGGGTCGAGGCTGCAGTGGCTGCTCCTGGCCACTGCACTCCAGTCTGGACGACAGAGTGAGACTCCAACTCAAAAAAAAGAAGAAAAGAGGACCTGATTAAATTCTATTCTGGTTTAACTTCTTTGCCTTTTTGTCAGTTTGTAGGTAACAGATATAGCTCCTACTCTGAATTATTTTTCAATTGATAAAAAAGATAAATATACTTTGATGTATAGTATCTACCAAAGCAGATTTTTTTTTGAGTCAGAGTCTCATTCTGTCACCCAGGCTAGAGTGCAGTGGCACATTCATGGTCACTGCAGACTTGACCTGCTGGGCTCAGGATATCCTTCCACCTAAGCTTTCCAAGTAGTTGGAACTGCAGGTGTGCACCACCACACCCAGGAAATTTTTTCATTTATTGTAGAGATGAGATCTCACCAATTTGCCCAGGCTGATCTCAAACGCCTGGGCACAGGCACTCTTCCTGCCTCTGCCTCCCAAAGTGCTGGGATTACAGGTGTGAGCCACCGCACCTGGCTACCAATAGCTTTTATTAAAATACTTTCACCTAATATGTCCAGAGTTTTGGTTTTGGTGACACTGAAAGTTGATATCCCAAACAAATAGGACCTGATGTTGTAGACTTATTTCACTATTTAAACATTACAAAAATTAGCACAAGGCATATATATCAGCAACAAAAGGTTACATGGGTTAAAAGCCATCTTCTTTTAATCTTTTAAGGTCAGTACATCCTTATAACTAAGACTAAAACATCTATATATCTGTTTTAATCTCCAAAATTTTTATTACAATAAAGTAATCTTCCAAGGAGAATAACTCTTGTTAGTAGTTTAGAAAACACTACTATTATCAGCTAATGTTTCTTAAATAACAGCACCAAGACTGTGAAGGTTACAAGAAAAAGAAAAGACATTCCGCAAAATAATATATCCTCATATTTACACACAGTATAATGACTAAGATGATTAAAAGGTCAAACTCATTCAAGTTTACCTTGCTCATAAGATTAAAATTATTAAGTTAATTAATAACTGATTGCCATCTGGTTGTTCAAAGTTCTCTCCTTCCTGTAAAATACTTAAGTCACAGCCAAAACTGTACTTTATATGTAAAACTGAGCCAAAAGGTAAGTGAGCAGATTCTGAACAAGGCCTGCTGGAAAACTCCATCTGCTCCCCATTCCCTTCTAAAGAAGAGAGTTCTTCAGTAAAACAGTGGCAAAATCTGGGGCCACTGCCTTGCTAAGCTTTGGTGTGGCCATGTGCTCTTTGAGCTATGGCTGTCGTCATGCTTCGTCGCTTTGACCCCCTCCCCCACCTTGGGGAGATGAATCTTCCCTTTCTCTCTCTAATTTACTTTAAAATAAACTATATTTTCTTTTCTTTTTTGAGTTGGAGTCTCACTCTGTCGCCCAAACTGGAGTGCAGTGGCACACTCCTGGCCACTGCAGCTCAACCTGCTGGGCTCCGGCAATCCTTTCACCTCAGCCTTCCAAGTAGCTGGAACTACAGGTGCACGCTACCACGCTCAGCTAATTTTTTATTTTATTGTAGAGATGAGGTCTCGCCAAGTTGCCCGAGTGGGTCTCGAACCTGCAGGCTCAGGCAATCTACTCGCCTTGGCCTCCCAAAGTGCTGGGATTACAGGCTGAGCCACCAAGCCTGGCATAAACTATATTTTTTAATCTTTAAAAAAAAAATCTGGTTGCTTATTTTTAAAGTACTCATCTCTTCTGTCTTTAGCTATCACCTGAACTTGAAACTCTAGTACATCTTACTGTACTAGAAAAAGTAATGTGTGATATTAGTCATATTAATGAATAATTCCAAGACTTTAACCCAAACTCAAAGGTTAATTATTTTCAGCTTCTAGAAAATATACTCCAGAGTCATTATTCTGTAAAAACTGAAGGATTTCAGCAAAACTATGTTACTCTGCTTTACCCTGAAAGCTTGGTTCCATTTTTAAACAGGCTAGGACCATTTAGACTTACAAGAAAGAATTAGATAGCTTGATTGCAATATATACTGCTCTAATATGGCCCAATGACACTACTGTGATCTCAGTAAGCACACAGAACGCTACCATTTTGATTAATGCTCAATTATGTTCTTATTGTTGGTTCTTCTGTCTTTAGTGGCAGCACTTTCTTTTGTTTTGTTTTTTAAGAGTGGGACTCTCCCTCTGTTGCCCAAGCTTATGCCTCAGCCTTCCAAATAGCTGAAACCACAGGCACACACCACCACATCCGGCTAATTTTTTTATTTATCATAGAGATGAGGTCTCACCAAGTTGCCCAAGCTGGTCATGAACCCCTGGACCCAGGTAATCCTCTCACCTCAGTCTCCCAAAGTGCTGGGATTACAGGCTTGAGCCACTGCACCCGGCCTGTGGCAGCACTTTCAGTAAACATTCTTAAAGTTAGGGCTGCTTAGTCACAGGCGATACAATACTTCAAAATAAATAGGCCTAAGAAAAGAAAATTCCAGGAAAATACCGCTTAACTCAAAAGGTAGTATCTGTTTACTGTAATAACTCTCTTTAGGAAAAAAACCACAAGATTTTTTTTTGGAAGCTTCCAAAATGTGTAAGTAACTCCTGATCTATCTCGAACACAGCAATAGAATTGTTGTTTCTTGATCTACTGAAACACAGAGTTCTTCTTATCGTATTAGAGATGGGAAGAAGAGGAAAGAAGACAAACAATGAACACACCTACTACTGGACAACGAGACTGATTATAAACTGAAAGGTCCCTTACTCTCGCACGCCCACTCCAAGCTCACATTTTCCTAGCCTACCCACTAATAACACAAGTAACACTCAAGAGCTTGGCCACTCCAAATACCTGCATCCTCTGCTGATTTTTGAAGGGCTTCTGCTAATTCTTGGTCTGCAATCTCCTCTGGTCGCACATCCTCTCGCCCAGCCCCATATGCCAACCGGGCACACTCTGGCAATTCTCCCTCAGGAAGGAAGGTGGTCTGGGAGCCTGTGGTGCCGATCACGAGTACATTTTTCTTGAGGTCAATGGAACACTTAGAAGGAAGAAACCAAAGAAAAATGAAAGCAGACAAAACGTAATGCAGAAAAATTGTGATCTTAAATTTAAAACTCCATTCACAAAGAGTAACACTGACAGAAACAGAAATGGTTCACAAAAACTACTTCACCTAAAAATATTTAAAATTTAACCAGGATGATACTGTCTGTTTAGAATTCATGTTAATATTCAAAGTTTATAGCATAACAATCTTTTTTTTTTTTTTGAGTTGAAGTCTCACTCCGTTGTCCAGACTGGAGTGCAGTGGCACGCTCACAACCACCCCAGCGTTGATCTGCCAGGCTCTGGTGATCCTTCCATCTCAGCCTTCCAAGTAGCCGGTACTACTACCACGCCTGGCTAATTTTTGATTTATTGTAGAGGCAAGGTCTTCCCAAGTTGCCCAGGCTAGTCTTGAACTCATGAGCTCAGGCAATCATCTCACCTCAGCCTCCCAAAGTGCTGGGGTTACAGGTTGAGCCACCAAGCCTGGCCAGTATAACAATCTTTATAGGAGATAATTTCCATTTGTCTTTAAAAACATCTGTTCGCCAGGCTCGGTGGCTCAGCCTGTAATCCTGCGCCTTTGGGAGGCTGAGGTGAGTGGATTGCCTGAGCCTGCGGGTTCGAGACCCA